TGTGAACTGTTATTTTAAAGCTGTGGGGTTTATGATTTACTGCTGGGGTAGCTGGTGACTGATCTTCTGTAGTCAGCTCCCTTCTTCTGCAGGGTTGAACATGCTGTGTGGAGCTGGGTTTTCCTGGACCAACGTGGTGGCAGCCCAGGGATGGCTCATGGGTGGAGGTGAAAGCTGGTCCAGGTTCATTTCAGTTGGAAAAGTCAAAGCTCCCCAGCCCAAGGATGTTTGCACAGATGCTTTTTTGGATGTCACCATCTTCCCAAAGAAACAGCAGCCACCCTTTGTGACCTTCAGGGAGGTTTTGGGGACTGATGGATTTACTCATTTTTTGAGCTTATGAATGTGCAGAATAATCAGTTCTCTCAGCAGCTGCCTCTACAGTACGGGAGGCCTGTGCAGTCCTACCTACAGTGTCTGAACCTCTGCTTTAGGGGGCTTTTCCCCCCTCTGCTCCCACCCCACCCCACTGTGAATAAATACCCAGTGCAGAACTGATGGTGGTTGGGAGGCCAAACTGGACTTGAAAACTTTCCCACATGAAATGCACTGGCAGTGCCAACAGAGACGAGGGTGAGAGGAGACAGCTCTGCTGTGCCAAAGCACTCTTTCATCTCTTTTCAGCCCTCCCTGTGAGGGGTCCTGGCTCACAGCACATAGATGCCTTGTGCAGATGTCTTGGCTGGGAAAGAAGTGGCCCCTTTCCCCTCCCAAGCAGAGCAGAGAGATATAAGAAAGCTATTGATCTGCCTGTAGCCAAAGTGAGCTGAGCCAGGCTCTGCAGTGCTTTATTGAGCTGGGTTAAGGCTTTGTTACTTACTGGAATTAAAACAAAAAACAACAGCAACAACGAAAAAAGAAGTAAAGAAATAAAAGCTGAAAGGTGAGGGTATTCTTTGTTGGTAAACAGATGCTGGGTGTTGTTTACCTGCTGGTTATTTCCCAAGCAAATGAGAGGAAGGAGCAGACACTGAACAAAGGCTGTGCTTTCTCAGCCTGCTCTGGAGGGAAGCAGACAGCCATGGGATCTGCCAGGCTCAGCTCTGGGCAGGCTGGCAGGGGACAGCCAGAGCTGTGCCATGGGGTGGCACAGGGTGGCAGGAGTCCAGTTGTTAATGGGCAGGTGCTTCTCCTGCTGGTGGGAGTGACAGTGGCCTTGTTAGCAGGGCTGAGGAAGATGCCAAGGAGAGGCTGGGATGGGAAGCTGAGCTCCATCCTGTGGGTTGCTTGCCCCTCAGTGGTGTGCAGATCTGCCTGGCCAGGATTCACAGCTCTATTTCACTTCTGCTGGAGAAAAAAACAGAACAAGTGGTCTCTGGGGTTCTTAATCCACTCTTCTTCCTGAGCACTAAATTCAGCCTTGAAGTCTTTCCCCTCTGGTAAGCAAGTATTTTTGAGGAAAAACGGATTTTGGAAACAGCGTAATTTATTTCCTCGGTACTCTCCTGGAAAAGCCATCAGTCTTGGCTTTGCATTCCCTTCACTGCTGTTGAGAAATGATGCTTTGGTGCCACGCTGCTGGCACTGCTTGTCTCAGCCTGGGCAGGTTGGTTAGCACAGGGAGCCGTGGCTGTGATGGTGCCAGCATGGATGAAGAGCACTCTGGATCATGTTCAGTGTCAGGAGGTTGGCCAGCTCTGCGAACAGGAGGAATTGGAATTGACACTCTGTGTCTGAATGTGCTAAAATTTAACTGTGCCTTGTAATTTAATTTTACTCGTGTAGTGGGGTGTAAGCTTGGGATCCTTCCGAATTCTTCTTTGGTCTCGCAGGCTCGAAGCTCTGCTCGGTGCACATGGTGCAGCTGCTTTTGCTTTACTCAGGGGAGCAAGAGGTTGGCCAGGAGCAGTGCCTGCTGCTGGTCTGAACTGCCCTGCCGAGCTCACACTGTCTTGTTCCATTTTGAGGAAATGGGGTTGATTTGTGGTACCATGTGAACTCCAGCTGAAGTGTTCCTGCTTGGTGCTTGAGCTGTAATCGGTGTCACCTCCTCCTCCTCACTTTGTTCACGTGCAATGGAAGAAATGCTGCTTAGACTTAGGAGGGGAAAGGGCTTTTCTGGGTGCTTTCAGTTGTTGGAGAGCCCTAGTGATCTTTAATCCTAAGGTGCAAATTGCCATTGCAGCATTTTCCAGGGGAAAAGCAGCCTTGAGAGGAAATGGAGCTATAAATGAGCCTGGCTGGGCTCCTGGCTGAGTGTTTTGAATCAGTTTGTGCTCTCCCTTCTGGCTACAGGCCAGGCTTTCAGAGGCAGCTTGGCAGAGCTGTGCTTCGTGCTCAGGTACCCCCTAACCCTGGCCTGCTGATGTTCTGATAAGCAAGAGTGTGCGTGCTGTGTTGGGGCTGGTCCCATGCACACTCAGTCCTGCTTGCCAGTGCTGTGCTTTGAAGGCTGGAAGAGTGTGCTGGCATCATGCAGTTCACCCACAGACTATGAGAGCCTAACCTTGTAATTTTAGCAGCTGGTTCAGCTCTGCCTCTGAGCAGATAGGCTGGTTAAAACAAATAAATAAATATACAGGCCTGTTTCCTGTGCCTGTCAATATTGGAATAATTTTAAATGGTGTGTTTTCTCCTGGTCACTGACCTATAGTTTATTCCATTATCGACTGCTGGGTTACTGGCTCTTTGTATTCTGTGGTTAAGTGAACTGTAAGGCTGAAATCACTTGGCTGCGATGGTGTTGCTGGGCAGGAACTCGGCTCTGGCTGACTCAGATTGGGGTGAAAGTGTACCCTCTGGCAACTCAAACACTCATTTATCTCCACCTCCCCCCCAATAAACGGGTTAAACAACATAGTGGAGTATTGATCCCGCTTTCATCTGGCGGCCCTGGGCTGTAGCAGTTACCTTTGTGCCACATTCCTGCTGCTTTCCCAACAATGCCGCACATTTTCTGCAGAGCTCCCGCCCTCCCCTTGGTGACCTTCTCTTGGTTTGGCTGTGATGGGCTTTGCTGGGGACGCCTCCACTGCTGAAGAACACACAGCACCAGTGTGGGCAGAGCTTGGCAGCCTCTCTCCTTACAGGCGTGCTCGCTTGGTGTGATGCTGTGAACGCTGCAAAGTGGAGTTCTGGGGCTTGGGAACGTGCTTCTGTTCCTCGGGCTGTGCTCTAGGAATTGCTGACCTTAGGTAGGGTCCTAGAACGACCACACGGTTCTTTTGGGGTGTTACAGACAGACGGAGGGCTGGTTGAAGACTCTGCCCCTCTGGTCTTTGTGGGTGCCACAGTTTTACTGGTGGATGTTCAGTGGTTGCTGCCACGTTGTCCTGACCTTAGAGCAGTCGTGGACCTTTACCGATGCAGTGGCTTGTTTAAAACTCTGATTAAGACTCCTGGAACGGCCAGTATTGCTGCTCTTAGCAAGGTACTTCCTTCTGAGAGCTGCCTGAAGCTTCTCAGTGTTGCTGACACCCAGGCTGCTGGTGGGACATTTGAGCACAGCCCGGTGTGAGCCCCCGGACTGTCTTGGCTGTGCCACCTGCGCTGTGTAAAGGCTCTGCAAGCTCAGGTGCAGGCTGTGCCAGCACCCAGTGGCCCAGCACCCCTTCCCATGCCAACAGCCTGGGGCAGGTTACACGGACCTGAGGAGCTCCAGCCTCTGTGCTGAGCTGCACGTGTTTATTTACAGGGGAGGAGGGTTGGCTCACTGTTTCTTTCTCTGTTAGTGTGAACATTCGCTCCGAGCCTGCACGTCCTGCCTGACACTGCCTTAGGCTCTCCGGGTTTTTTGGCTGCTGTAGAAAAGTAGCTTTAGTACACAAAGAGTCAGAAACGCTGTTTTGTATGATCTGTTCATATTTCAGGTCTTATGAGGACTTAATCTTTGTTAGTGAGTGCTTTGCGTGTCTTGCTCGTGGGCTGTGGGGGTGTTAAAAAGACCTGTTTGTGCTGCTCAGCTTCCCACAGATGCATCCATCATCTTCAAAAGAAGCAAGGGAGAAAGATGGCTTCTAATTTTTTTTTTTTTTTTTTTTTTAGCCATTGGAATTTGGCATGGAAATAAACAGGTGTTCTGGCATGGGAGCAGAGGAGTGTTTGTCTCTGAGCTCCTGTCTTTTGTCACGTGAGGATCTTCAGGGAGTCTCGATCAAAGAGCTGACTTTAGTAATGATGTAATTTTTTTTTTTCAGCTAAGGGATTGATGAATAACTGGGTTCCTGGTGTCTCTGGCAGGGTAGGCTGGTGCAGGAGGTAAATGTCTCTGGAGTGCAGCCCAAAAATCTCCTTTCGTAGAATTAAACTCTCAAAGTAAATAACGTCACTGCAACCTCTGGCCTTATGAGGCAAATGTTTGAGACTGTGAGTCCCAACCTTCTGTGGTGTGTTCAAACGAGGTCATGTCTGCTGTTTGTGGTAGACAATGCTGGGAGTAACCCTTGAACCTCTGAGGAAACCAGGTATAAAAGTTTTGGAGACTTGATTTTGGCACGTTGGCCCACGAGATGAAAATAAGCATCAACGTTTTCTGTGCAGTTTTCCCCACGGTCTCTTGTCTTGCCTTTGGGGTTTGACTTCTAAGCCTGGCCATGTTGGTTCCTTGGAGAAATCCATAGGGATGGTTCAGGAAGCTTTCTAACACCAGTGCCCTCTTGCCCCAGCCCTGCCGGGGGTGTGTGCAGAAGAGAGGCTGGGCTGTGGAAAGGGGAAGACAGCAGACTTCTGATCAGTGTTAACTTTGTTCCTTGGCTTCCAGGCAGTGCCAATTTCGAGATAAGGCAAACTCTGCAGTGACCTTATCCAGGGACCTCGCTGACGTCAGCCTGTGCCTGTCCATTGACCTCGCTGGACTTTGGGTCAGGTTTCTCTGAAGGCTGGACGCTGAAAGCAAAGAGGAAAGGCTAGCTGGGGTCACCCCAGTCTTTGCTGGGCTAACTGGAGCAAAGGCAAGGGGCAGGCTGTGTGAGTGGGGCTGCTGGGAGGGTCACTCACATGTGATTGAAGGCAGAGGGCTTTCCCATGGCCCTGTGTCTTGAGTTCTTGGGTCAAACACCTCTTACAGACATGCTGCATCTCCCTTTAAATGTTTATGTGCATGTCCTTGGGGCTCTTTGAAAATCTCTGGAGATGCCTGAAAGGATTGAGGCACCCAAGTGTCTGTGCACAGGATCATCACGACAGGGCTTAGTTTTATTTTGTCCTTAAGAAAACCCAGGCTCTGAGCAGATGGAAGCATTAGCATGAGCGCTGTGTGGCTTTGTGTTTTAATGCTGTCTCCCAGAGCAGCGAGAGAGATGCATTACAAAGTTCTTGCTTTTAAAGGACCTCAAATGGCAGCAGCCAAGCTGGGGCAGCCTTGGAGAGGACTTGTAAGGCGTTTTTTGGGTCTTTGTGTTGTGCTGGGATTGCCTGTGAAACTCATTGTGACTCCTGCCTATAGAAAAGTCCAGGTGCAAGCCTAGGTTGATAAATTACAAGTGAATGACATTAGCTGGGCAGGAAATGTTCCTGCATGGCTTTAGAGCTCTACTTAGCAAACAAAGGAACAGAAATAACAAACATTGGGCTTATTTAGGAGAAGTGTGACTTTGCTTTTTATTGTTAGCCACAGAAGAACAGCAACTTTCACATAGTGTGATCTTCCTCTGAACCACAGCATCTCTGCCTACAGGCACACTGGTAGGGTGTCTGCTCCTCGGATTGCCTGCTGTGTTCATCATGTCGATACCTGAAGTGTTTTGGTACCTTACTGATTCTTCTGCTGCTCCTTTCCTCCCCCATTCGTGTGCTGCTTGCTCAAGGCATTTTGGCACCAAGGAGAAGGCAGAAGTAGCATTTAAAACATAAAGGATTCCAGATGTGAGCATGTCTTGGACTCTGCTAGTGCAGGAAAAATGCTCTTTCACATTATGGTGTGGCCACATGGTTTGTGTGGATAAATAGCCCAGATAAAGCTGATTGTTTTTTAGGTTCGTTTCCTCTCTCTTCTTTTAAACTGTAAATTGAAATCCACACTCTGGGAGCCTGCAACTGTATACCTGTTAGCTGCATTCCCTGCTGCAGTGTCAACTTGATGGCTGAAGCTTCACATTCTTAAATGTCAGCGATTAGGTGTTAGAAGTTCCCCTCTTCCTGCTGGAGGAGGTTGGAGGAGGCCCCTGAGAACTGTTTGTAGGAAATGAGAATTGCCAGCATCCTCTGTTTCAATGGAGTCCATGTGATCCTTTCCCCTTGTGAAGGCTGAAATAATGCTGGTGTGGCCACTTCAGCCTTGCCAGATAGCAAAGCCTGGTCCTTCTTGTGATGAAATAATTCACCTCTGCCACCATTCTCTACCAGGACAGGCCAGCAGAGATGGCTTTGGGACTGTCAGTCTCCTTCCCCACTGATGGGAGCTGTCATGCTTACACTTCTCCTCATGATAAAGTTGCAACTTTATTTTCACAAGGAACAGGCGAATGGTCCGTGCTGCACTTGCATGCTAATGAAACCAAATATTAGATTGCCTTGGTGATTTTGAACGTCTTGAAGACAAGATCACAGGGGGTTTGTGAGCTTGACAGTCTCATTTTTATGGGAGGTAGCTGGAAAACTCATCACTTCTGATGCTGGTTCTTCTTCAAGGTTTTGTAGTGACTGAGGTATTACTGCTGTTGACTATGTGTTGGTTTCATGACAGAATTGTTGATTTTTGTATAGTTTACCAGGTAGCCTCAAAATAAAAAAGCCATTACCACTGGGTCTGTATCTTTTCCACTCATGTAGCAGATTCCAGAATGCCAAGTGAGGATTGGTCTGATCTTCTGAACTTCTGATGCTTCATACAGGGCTTGTGCATTGATTGGAGCAAATTACATTGAACTCCTGAGCTCTTAAATTATTTTGGGGTCTGGAGTTGATTTGGAGAGTGAAAAATGGATGTCACAAGTGTCTTGAAGATGCTGCCCGAGGTAATGATGCTCATTCCAGGCTGTGCAGGCACTGTGGTGAGCAGCACCTCCCTGCTAACAGGGCTATTGCACAAGGGGTGGGTGGCTGTCCTGGTGTGTTCCTGGCTTTGTGCTGCTCTCCAGCTTTTTGTTCACTTTTTTATTTTTTTTTTAATGGATTGTCAGAATTCTCAGAGGAGTTTGATTTCAAAAAGAAATGTTGAGCTGAAGGAATTAAAAAAAAACCAATCCAAACACAACAGAGGATTGCCTAATTTGAGGCTGGTGTCTGTACCATGTCACACTCTTACTCCTGTCAGTGGGGGATCTTTTAAATGTGCATGAATTTTCTGAGACAGACCTTGCAGTCTAAGGCTGAGGTATCTTCCTACATCAGGCTGTTTCAGGAATCTGCTTGGGGTGCTGCTCCCTCTTTTCCATTTCCCAGCCGTGCTGATCCCTTCTGATCAGGCAGGGAATTGAGGATTTGGACTCAGTCCTCCGAGGAGATTCCTGAAGCTGCCTGGGGAAATTCTGCTGTGAGCGAGCAGCTGGTGAGGGATGTGAGTGTCTGAAGCAGTGGGAAGGAAGGAAGGAGGATGCACACACTGACCAGTGAGGCTTTGGGGAGCTGGATCCTCGTTCCTGGCTTTGATTTGGTGTGAAAGGTTTGGCTGCAGGCTGCTGAACTCTGGCCCAGCAGTGTGGCATGAGCAGTTGCTTGCGTGAGACCATTGCTGATTTCTGTCCTGACCTGATGTGTCACGTTCTGGACACGATGGTTTTATAAAGATGCTCTTGGGTGCTGAGTGAAGTGCTCTGATATATATTCCCCCAAGCCACATGGAGTATTATTTTTCTGTACTTCTTAGGTGAAAAAGAAGAATCTGGCAACTGTGTAGGAGGCTGTTGCTTTGACTGGTGTACACAAGCATTAAAAATTATAAATCTGGGGGTTTTATCTGGGATTTTTTGTCTATTTTTTTAACTCTTTGAGCTCTTCTGGACTTCTTTGCATGCAGGTAGAAGAATAAAACCTAAAGTATGACCAATGCCTCTGTCCCAGGAGAAATGCTGAGTGTCAGGGGAGTGTGGCTTAGGGCTACAGCATTCCCAATTGTGGCCTGGGGCTCCAGCATTCCCAAATGTGTCCTCTCGTGCATGAGGGCCCAGAGCAGTTATCTGAAACAGTAGTAATGTAAATTGAATGAGCAGTCCAGTTAAATAAGTAATGAAGTTAGCAGGGTGCCTAATTAAATTAAATTCAAAATTATGTATGGATGATGCCTTTCTAATAATTGCTGTAGGTTTGTCATTGAGGAACTCCACACTGCCCTCTTGGCTGCAGCTTCCCCTTTCCCAGGCTGGGAATGTTGGTACCACAGAGGGATGTGTTTTATTTAACATTTCACTTTGGTTCCTCCCTGATGCTCTTGTGTCCATTGCAGGGTTGCTGTTTTCTGTTTTGCTGAGATGTGTGCAGGGGGTTTGGGTGATAACAGTCTCTGCTTCATATATGATGGTTTTTTACATTCCTGCTGAGGGTTTCTGATTTGCTCCTAGACCAGCCTTAGTGCTGTTTCCTTGGTCCCTGTGCCCCACTGATGTCCTTGTTGGGACTGTCCCCTGTCCTTCCCATCCCTGTGGTGCCTGGCAAGTTGCTCCTGTTTCCACAAAGCAGGATGGCACATCTGGTAACTCTGGGCACAGTGATTTAGCCCATTTCTTTATTTGAAAAAAATCTCTTAATTTCCATCCTTCTGAGCTTCTCTGAAACAGCAGCACTTTGAAGGTGTGTGTCAGTTTGGGGATAAACATTAAGCTGAGGCAGAAGAACAATTTTGAAGGGAGGGAAAGCTGCTGAAATTAAAGACACTTGAGAAGATGCAGCCATCCCAGGCAGCAAAGGGAATTCTGTCTCTCCAGACAGCACGTTGAGGGCAGCCTCTCCCTGTCCTGGGCATGGCCAGGCACTCAGTGCATTTTTGAAGATGGGCTGTCAAGGCAGAGCTGGCTCTGGCTGGCAATTACTGACCTTTGAGGTAATGTGTCCTTAATAGAAGGATGTGAGTACATCAGAGGAAGAATTGTCATTGTCATTATCATCTTTTCACCTCCTTGCCAGAAGGGCAGGTCTATTAAAGGGCCTGTGCTCCAGCAGAACTGGTCCTGCCCCTCCAGGAGATGAATCCTGACTTTCCTGGAGATGAGAGTAGATGTGGGGAGGGGAGAGAGCCCGAATGACCGGAGCTCTGTTGCTGCTTTTTGAATTCCCCCTCTGTCCCACTGCTCGTTTTGCATCAGGGTTTATGTGCTAAATCCCACATGGTGCCTTCAGTGCAGTAGCCAAGCTTGCCTGATGCAGGGGCTGTGCTCCTGGGGACCCACAGCTGTGTTTGGGCAGGGAGACTGTTCTGCATGAAGCAATGAAAGCTCTGCAGAGAGACACCTGGGCCAGCAGCTACGGGTGATGAATGACAGAAGATTTTTGTCACGTTCAGGGCAGTCTGAGTCTTCCTTGTTGATGGTTTCACTGGGTGAAAACCTCCAGGTGATGAACTGGAGAATCGTGCAACCACTTTTTCTCCAGGAATGGCAAGTGCTTCCCCTGTGCTGCCTCACCAGAGAATCTGGAAGTCTTTTGCAAAGCTTTAATTAATGCTTGATTGGCCTTGGCCACCTCCATGCCCAGCACCCCTGTGACAGAGCAGCAAGATTGGAGACCCTTGTAACCCCCTCATCTCCCTGTGGGAGTGTGGAAGTGGAAGGATCCTGGCTGGAGCCCTTATGAAGGCAGAGTTTAGTAAACCACAGGGTGTTCTGACGGATATAGAAGTGATTTGCATGGGTGCAGTGACCTGAGCAGGGCTCTGCACATTTCATGCACAGTTGCGTTAAAGGGATGCTGATCATTTTCAGCATGACCTGCTAATTATCAGACCAGATGAAAGCCTTTTTTTTCTTTCCTTTTTGAATCCTCCTCCCCCTACATGCTCTCTTCTTCTCCCTGCTCCTTCCCCAAGCCCTTATCTAAGCTAATCATCATGACACAAACAGCCAAAAAAGCAGTGTTCTTACAGCAGCTATTAACTAGAAAGGAGACAGCAGGCGTCTGGAGCCCCTCAGGAGAGACTCGCCTGGTGTTACCCATTACTTTTAACAGCCAGGCTGAGAGCTGCAGAGTCAGAACAGAAAAGCTTTAAGCTTCTTTCTTTTGAGGTCCTAATACGCAGTGACCTGTGTGCTATGATGTAGGATTTTAAGAAGACTCAAATATGGAATTTTAGTCATGATGTGGGGCTTCCCAGATAACTGATACATCCCTGGTTGAATAGAAATTAATAGCTATATATATATTTTTGGGTAAGTTTTCAAAACTTTGAGACATATGGCTGTGTCCTTCAAGCAGAGCCTTTCTATCCCAAATGTCTGTTTATTATTGCTAAAGTGTCCCTCAGCAGCAGAGCACCCAGCTCGGGGAGGGTTATGTTAATCCAGTGAAGTAATTTTTATCATTGCATCAAGCTATGGACACAAATTTGTTTTCTCCCGTATTTCAAGCATTTGTTTTATCTAGAGCTGTGGGAGGGATTTTCCATTGTCCTCTGCTCTGTGCTAGATGAATACTTAAAAGTTGTTCTTGTGGTGATAACGGGGTAGGCTGAGACAGGGGCCAGACTCCGGAATTTCAGCTGCGGTGGCGCGCTGGGAGGGAGGCCGAGCAAATGGACACCGTGTTTAAATAGTGTGTCCTGAATTGCTTTAATTTGGTTCTTATTTTGTAAGCTGTTGGCTGGGTTTTCTGTCCTTTCAGAAATCAGCAGCTTCTTATGAAATATGGAGCTGTTTAAAAACAGACAGCAGCTGCTCCATCCTTGCGTCAGCACGGGCTCGGCAGAAGGAAGGGGAATGGTAGACGGTTGTTTAGCTGTGATATTCTTCCCTTCATTGCTTTGTCATATTGTGTTAACAGAAGGGCTGATCAAATATACACCAGGAAAAGTAAGACTTAATGTTTCTTTGTTCTCCTGGAATGGTGTTGGGAGGGGAGTGGGGGAATGTTTGAATGAGACTTTTATTTATGTGGTTCAGATAGCTCAGCATTGCCTGGGTCGGTAGATATGTTGTTGTGCTCTTATTTCTTAGGCTGCTTGCTATATTTTTAGCTGGGAAAAGTCTTTACTTTGTTTGTACAAAACCTCTGCTATGTGGTATGGAAACTTTGGGGGGGGTGGTGGTGTAAGTATTTAACAGGGAGAGTATGATCTATTCACGCTGACTTCCTAACTTGTTCTAAACTCTTCTCTTAAAAAAAAAAAAAATCTCAGCCAGATTCTTTAAAAAATAAAATGAAAAATGAGGAACATTGTTGCACAAGAACTGGAAAGAACCCAAATACTTTGCTTACTGTTAAAATTGCGACATGACTGGAAACATTTGGTAAAGAAAAATTAATTGCGTGGTGTATTTGTGGTTTCCTGTTGAATCTCAATTTCTAGAGGAGGTTGAAAATCCCATGGATGTTTCCTCAGATTACTAGATAGCATTATACCTTGTGTGCATGATGAAAGACCTTCAGCAAAGCGTGCCAGATATCCATGGCTTGCTATAAAAAACTCTCCCATCTGGAACATGACTGTTTTCTCCTTTTTAGTAGGATGATTTGAGCAGAGATAAACATGCAGTGAAATTTAGCCTGGTCCAGTCTTACTCCCCTACCAGTATGGAGTTCCTGGCAGTCTGGAGTCACCTGAAGAAGGATGCTCAGACCTTTTAAAGAGCTTTGAAGCCACGGGCAGGGCTGGTAAGCCACAAAGGCACTGCCATGCAGAGCTGGAGCTCCTTTTGAAGAGCACCTGGCTCTGAACACAGTCAAATGCAGGTGGGGTGATGAATTGCTGAAGAACGTGGTGGTTTCTCCTGTCTGGAGGCTTGGGGAGTGTCTGAGAGCTGCTGGGTGAAACCCTGGGCTGGGGACATGTGGCCAGGGGTCAGATCAGAGCATCGACTGACCCCCAGCCCCTGCTCTGCCTCCTCGTTTGGTCGCACAGAAGATGTTTGTGTATGCAAAATACAGCTCGTGATGACACAGGGCTTAAGGTTGTGAAATCTTTGAGGCTCCTCTGGGTATTCCTGTGGGAAGGGAAGAGTTATCCCTCAGATAATTTCCATGGGGAAATAGTTAATCTCATAAACACCAGAGGTTGTTTTCTAAAGCGAAGGCAGGGCTGTGGGGGAGCGTGGTTAACCATGTAGAGTGAAGACAGGCTAAAACTCATAAAGGAAAAATGTATGTAGGAGTTTATAGATGTATATGAGTGCATTAGAACTTCAGTTTGAGATCTCTGACTGAGATTAAAACGAGCTGCTGTGGAGCTAAACCACTTACAGAGAGCTGAGAGCAACTTTTTGAGATGGATGGTGGCCCCACAACTTGCTGACTGAGAACATGCACAGTTGTTTAAAGTCTGCTTTTTTAACGTGCTGGGTTTTTTGGTGTAGTTTGAAATAATGAAAAACTTCAAAATTAATGCTCATCCAACTTCCTGAAAATTCTCATCCAGTTTTGAATGTCTGTGTTCACTCCTGGGCTGTTGGGAGTTAAATTTTCCTCTTGACTCAGTTGTGGAAACAGTCTTCAATTTATCGTTTCCCAGTTTAGCTCCCGTATTAAAATTATAACAAGGCTGGGATTTATTTTTGTCTTGTGTACATTTATCTCCTGTGTATCCTTGTGTCTATTATTAGAGTCCTGCTCCGTTGCTAAATGGATTGGCCGAGTTCTTGGGGACAAAATACTGAAGCATATGACTAGTCTGCAGTACCCCTCAGCCACTCGGCTCTGCAGTATTCATAGTGCCTGGGCTTACCCCGTGCTTGTCACAGCTTATTTTAAATGCTGAGGATGCAGTGGGCAGAGCCAGCAGATAGGAGATCTTAAATGGCACATCAATTTGTAAGTGAAAGGAGGGAGGAGGTGGATGTGGAGGGGAAGCTCCAGCTGAGAATAAACAGATAACAGTGCTGTGTGTTTGGGAAGCAGCTGAGTTGCATGGCCTGGGTAGAGCCCCCTTGTTTAGATTTTTTTGTTTGGACTTTTTTTTTTTTTTTTTTTTTTTCTTGACAGGATATTTCTGTTTCAGACTGAAAATCAGGAAATGTCAAATCCTGTGGAAGAGGACTGGTGTGGTGGTTGGATGGCTATGAACTTACCTTTTCCTGAGTTAAAAAAAAAGCTTTACATAGGTTCCAGCCATGTTTCAAAGCCCCTGTGACTTTGTGGCTGAACACTTGTCCTTCAATTTCTACCTGAATTCTTGGCTTGTACAAGAGTGATTTGTGTTTCTGCTGCTCTTTCCTCCTAGTTCCACATCCAGTCTGAGCTAACTGGCTTTTCAGGGATTTGCTCTGTTTTATAACTTAACTTTTGAGTATCTTCACCATGTTCTTGCTTTGCTTTCAGGATCTGTTTGTCCATGTGGCCTCTTACATGTCTGCTGCTCTCTCCCAAGTGTTAGGAAGATCCTCAGGGCTCTGCACACTGTTTGTTATACCTTTCAGAGGTCTAGTTGTTGATGCTTTTAAATTTTTTTTTAATTGTCTAGGCAGTGCCTTTGGCAAGGACATGGTCCAGAGCTTAAAGAAACAGAGAAGACTCTTACTGGAGTGAAGCATGGCTTGGGATCAGATTCTTGATTTGGTTTTTATTCCCTTCCACTTTACTTTGCTAAAAGATGTGGTGAGCTATTTCCCTGCTCTGCTTTGTTGGATTTTTTTTTTCCTTTCTCTGCTGTCTGTGGGATACACTCTGCTGCTGGACTTCTTGATCCAGTTTGAGAGGCATTGCCTAGTAAAGCCAGCTTTTGCACAGATCCTTCAATGAGTCGTCTTTTTCCACCTCCTCCCTCCTTTGTGTTCCTCATCCAACATCCTTTGGTTCCTACGTACGTGCCACATGCTTCCTTTGTTTTGCCTGTGTTAACAGAATTTTCTGACGTTGGATCCTGTTCTGAAGGATGTGGCTTGGCCCTTGCAGAGCTTTTTCTCTGCTGCAGGCTCCTCTGGTGGAGGCAGGTGTGCCCAGTGTGCAGTTGTACCTGGTGTGGATGTGTTTTTTGGAGGCTCTGGCTTGTGGAGCAGGGTTTAGCCCTGGCTGTGCAGCTGTGGGTGTAGGAGACTTGGAGCTGCAGGCTAGGATCAGCACACGGGACTGAGTTGCCTGAAGGATTTCTTGCTGTGGCCACAGAATTGCTTGGCAGGTAGAGTTGATCCAACAAACCTGCTTCCACCAATTGTCCAGTTTTTGTATTTCTTTTTGTATTTCTTTCAGGATCTTTTTTTCTTTTTAATTTCATGGACTTTAAAGCACGTGTGATTGAACAGTTTAATTAACTGTGGGAACTACTGGAGAGAACTTACTGGGATTTTCTGTGAACCTTGCTGCCCTTTTCATGTTTTTGGCACAGCAGTTGCTGTGAGCAAGCAGGCAGGAGTGCCTGAGAATGTGGCCCAGGTGAGATGTTATCACCTGAGCTGAGATCCCAGTGCCTGTGCAGTTGACTCTGGTGTGTGGGCTGGCTGTTTGCTGGGAACCAGTCCCTGGGCTGGTACCCCCACCTGGGCAGTCTGCTCGTGGTGCCAAGGTTCACCTTGGGCACGGTGCTGATCTTGGTGTCATCTCCTCTTCCACCTGGCACCTCGCACTCCTCAGAGGCTGTGAAACTGGTTACAGGAGCAGCATCAGCAGTGTTGTTGAGGTTGTAGGAGCTTTATGGAAACCTGGAGGTTTGTCATGGCCTGCCAGCATGTTTTCAGAGGTTGCTAAGGGGTGATATTTCACCCTGTAATCCTGCTCTCCCTGCAGTGAATAGAGGTTCCCCATGACTTTGCAGGGGCTGGCATTCAGCCCAAGTTCTTCTCCTGGTCCTGTCAGGAAATTCATCCAGTCTGGATCCCTTGGCACGGCTGAAGATGTGATTTCCAGGCCATGGGAACTGCCTGGGGGTGGCACAGGAGCTGTAAGTGGCTGCAAGTGGCTCCTTTTCCCAGGAGAGCAGAAGTGAAGACCCACCTTGGAATAATGGAGGTTATAACAACAAGGTTCTGGCTTGTGTTTCCAGCTTTATTAGCAGTGATCAAAATTGATTTTCTAATGTGTTTTTCTTGTGCTCTCAGTGGTTTTCTGTGGTCAAATCTGCCTTCTTGTTTTCCTGTGCATGAAGGGATTGTGTTTGGAGCTGCAGTCTGCTTCATCCTGACACCAGCACTGAACATGCCCTGGCCATGCAGTCTGTCCAGAGGCTGTGCATGATCAAGCACACACTTACTCGGTCTGGAATGGTTAAAGGTCAAGGATATTATTGCAGAAGGTTCATTTAAAAAAAAAAAAAAACCAAACAGCATTCTGTAAGAGGTGCTGGTGGTTACTTCCTTTAAATCCTTAGATTTGGGGTTTGAGGGTAAAAATTATTAAATGATGTCTTAAAGCTGAATAAAGAAGTCGGTATTGAATGTTCTAATGTCTTACAGATGCTGTGGGGTTGTGGGGTTTTATTTTAAATTTAACAATGGGAGTTGGAGTGGCTCCAGCACCATAAAGAATAGTCTGTTTAATTAAGGGTTTAAGCTGGAAGAGTGCGTGTAGTGTGATGCCATTTTAAAGTTTCAGCAGGGTTTTGTAGTTGTTATTCCTCATCTTGTGTCATCCATCTGTGTCTGGGGTCATGGTGGGGCTGGGTGTTCCTTACCCAGAGAACAGAGCTTGGTCTGTGTAAGAGTAGTAAGGTTTCTCCAGATGTTTTAGCCCTGATTTTACAATTTTCTCTTTCTTGTGACTCCTGCTGCCCACCTTGAGGTGCTGTCATTGCAGGCACATGCACATGGTGTGTTACACACAGGAGGAAAGAGCAGCTTTGGTTTTGCCTTGAAGTTTGGGGTTTTTCTGTTTTGTAGTCGTTTTCTTAGATGTCATCTTGGTAATAGCAAATTGGGGTGGAGGTTTT